TTATCTAATTCAACTATTTATGATCACTTGAAAGATTTACGTTTAATCTCGAAACAAAAATTTATCTTTTCATTTTTACAAAAGAAAAACGAAACAATTTTCCGAATCACCTAATATGAAAATGATAACTTAGCGTTATGTTCACTTTCTTTTGGAATTTTCGAATAGTTGAAAAAAAAAAATAAATAAATCAATGAAAAATTAATGATACACACACACACACACATACCTTTCTAAACTTTTAGGTGAATGAAAATAATCAATATAATAATGAAGACTTTTGTTGGTTACATCTGGATCGTAATATCTAACAACTGTTGATATATTAAGAGAACCAGTTAAATGAGCATTTAATTCCTAAGAAGAAATAAGAAAATTAAATTAAAATAAATATAAGAAAGTAAAAAAAAAAAAAAAAACAATAATACAAATACAAATAATAAATATACAAACATTTGAAATGTTCGATATAATAACACTTACTATTTTTGGTAATCTTTTACAAAATGCTATTCTATCGGCATTTTCCTCTCTATCCTATAAAATAATTATTTCTAATAATCATATCTATAAATATAAATACCAACAAACAAACAAAAAAAAGAAAGAAAAAGAAATCAAATCATATAAGTATACAACAGAAAAACAATAAATCTCTAACGTATAATTTGAAACATTCAATAATATATTTACCCTTTTATGAATTCTTTGACATTCTGTTAGGCTTACAGTTCTCATTTCTCTTCTGTAATTTTAATTGAATAAACAATAAATGTAAATTCATTAAATTTATTTAATTTACATGTTGAAATTCATTAAATCATTTCTGTAAATTTAATTGAATAACTGAATGAACAATGTTACTTATTCATTTAAATATATAGGAAATATATATATATATAGACATAATTTTATACAGTGACGATTAAAATTTATCATTTACATAATTTTCTCATTTTTTTTTTTTTGGCTGACGCAAAATTCTAAAACTGTGTTCAAACGTTTGAACAAATAATTTCATGTAATTTTTCAAATAAATGTCTTTATATACAGTATTTTTGTATTATCATTGAATAATTGATACAACATGAAAAATTAATCAGATTAGAAATTTGTACACGTCACTGTATATATTAATTATTAATTAAAAATAATTGAACAATATTAAATAATCAATCAATTACCTTATAAATTGTCCAGTAAGATCATTAAAAATTTGTTACACGATTACACATTGCACATTACGTAGTCTCCAAAAATCTGATTAGAATCCTGTTTGCTCGCAGATGTATATATAGTCTCTTCTAACACACCTAGTGACGTAATTATGAAACTATTAACGATTTGAAATATTAATTAAACGTTGACATTTCGAATAAATTTTACTTGACTGTTATTATTTACATTACTTAGGTTATTGAAGAAACTTTCATTTATGAGATTAAGAAAGGTTAATTTAAGTTTACATAAACAAAACAGAAATAGAAACATAGTTCTATGAGAATTTATTCTAAATGTATTTAATATTATTTATTATAAAAGCAAGAACGAAGCATGAAGAAGAAGACATTTTGATAATTTATTTTATAATATTTAATTTATTATTTATTATTTTAGATTATAATTATATTATATTAATATATATTAATATTATAATATATATAATAATAATTAATTATATATTAATATAAATTAATAATAATAATAATTTTAATTTATATACATAATTAATATACATAATTAATAATAATATTAATTTATGTATATAATTTATTATGTATAATATATTAATTTATATAGATATTATTTATGTATTAAAATATTTGTTTTTTAGTATCTAATAGAATACATTGATAAATTATTATAATAAAAATGACGACACCCTTGTACATAAATATTGGAAATATTATTAATGAAATATTAACTAATAATGAATAAAATTATGCATATGAAAGAAATGTTAAAGAACTGACATAATCCATACAATCAACTCAGCAACAGTTTCAAATAACACTTTTAACTTGGGTGTCTGTTATCTGAAACTATCAACCAATACGATCATTTATTCATCGACCATACTCAACGATTATGATCAGGTGTACATCGCAACAAGGACTAAAACTATTTATATCTCGTGATAAAAAATTAATTTAAATTTTAAATATCAATTGAAATGAAAAAGCATTTGAAAATGTTTGTTTTACAACATTTCCAATGGATTTTCAATTTGATTGATCCAATCATTGAGAAAATCAATGAAATGATAGAAAAAAAATGCACTAAACCAGCAGCAGATTGTAAAATTGTTTAAAAACTAAATCAGTGATTAGAAAATCATTTTAAATCGTTTGTAAAATAATAAAAAGAACAATTGAATTGACTGTTTCATTAAAATACGAAAAAAAAAGAAGAAATGTGTTCATTTAACCAATACAAACGTTGAATACATTGAATCGATTTCGATGGTGTTAGAATATTGATTATGGTATCGATAGAGGTTTTTTTAATAGGTGTGTGAGTTGATCGTCGATTGGTAGGGGGACTACTTAAAGATACCCAGAATCGTATCCGAGCATATTCGTTAAAGTTATTTTGTCTTGTAAACGTATTAATTCATTTGATAAATATACGACCATATTTCCTTTTTTTTTTTTTTCATTTTGTGTCAACCTTATTAATTAATTTCTTTTCTTAAATATAATATTATGGATAGTCATCGTGGAAAAGAAGACAAACATGGGTTAGTTATCTTATTATTATCTTGCAATTATATTTTTTCAATTTAATTTGCAAAAGTATTCGTAAATTAAAAAAGGTCTCCAATGAGGTCAACGACAGTGACTGGTCAAGATCAATCATTTTCAAATACTATTGAAACTACTACGAGAAAACCATTACAAGAACATGGTACAATTATTTATTTAAATTTATAATTATATTAAATAATTCATTCATTTATTATATTAATTGTAGATCTGACGAATTTTTTGTTTTTATTTTTAAAGATGCCAGCAATGTTCTTGTTCTTGGAATGGAAGTAAATGGTGTTAGGTATCAAGGTGTTCTCCTGCCACAAAAAGATTGTAAACGAAAATAATTTAATAACTATCAACTTATTTTTTTTTAAAAAAAAAAAGGTGACAATTATTATAATTAATTATTATCTCTTTTTTTCATATTCAAAAAAAGAAAAAAGAGAACAGAAATTTTTTATTTATTAACATTAATTTCTTCATAATAATTTAATTATTTTTGTCTCAATTATAATCTTCTATTTTTTTTATTTCATTTACCTTGTCATCAAATAATTCCTTACGATATATATATATATATATATATATATATATATATATATATATATATAAACAAATTAATAACAAATTTTCAGTGATCGATAGATGACAATATTGAATATTTTTCATTAATAAATTCAACAAATGTTTCATTATCATCATATCTTTATATATTCTTAACGAAGTATGAACACACACACACATTTATAAATATAATACTGTTGCATGCTTGATTCTATCACTTACCACCCTTTATCGCATTTCCGGGCTATATTATGGCTAGTGTGATCATATATATCAGTGGTACTCAACCTTTTCTTTTGATAAATAAATCATATAAGTTCCTTTCGTTTATATTTTAAAAGGATACCATCACACGTTGATAACATTTGAAAACTGATGACTAAAAAAAAAAAAAAAAATTAAAACAATACATAAGTTCATCATCGTTTTGAAAAATCATACGAGTGTAATAAAAAAAAAAAAAAAAAAACATTGATAAGAAAACCTTTGTTTATAAGGGCGAGTAGATTGGTTGAGAAGGCTCGAATAACGTGTAAACAAATATTTTATATCTACAAAAAAAAAGTCTCTTAGCAATCTTTGTCGACTTTCATGACAACCCATCTTCGTTGGTTCAGTTTAACATCAGACACGATCGAAAACCCAGTGAATTTTCATTTTTCTATTTTATTAATATAATATATTCAAATTGAAAAGCTTTATTATTGTTATTACAAAAATTATTATAAGTAAGTCTTATGATAATTACGTGAACGAATTAATTTCAAGTGAACAATTTGTGATAAAAATCAAAGGTAAGAGAAAAAGAAAGTTTGTTTTTTTTTTTTTTTTTATTTATTTGAATATAACAATTTGTTTGTTTTTTTCGTATCGCGTTATCAATAAAAAGAGTATAAATTCTTTGTTAAATTATTAAGAATTATGCTTTTTTTGTTGAATACGAGATTACGAGAAAATCATCAAAAACATTGTTAATGATCGATACGATTAAATGAATATCATTTTGAATGTCGCCTTGACGATTCCCATATTCTTAGCATAATCCAGCCGTAATTAAAGAAGGCATTATGCTTAGTATATGGAAAGTCGTAAATGTGCTACAATCATCATCATTAAAATTCGGTATATAAATCTTGTATTGAATAAATCTTGAATTGAAGTCACACACAATAATTTGATTATTTCAATTAATCTTAATATATATAAATTACGTGTCACGTTGTTTGTCTGCAATGAATTCCTAAATTACTGAACCGATTTTAATCAAATTGTCCACACTGTATGCAGTTTCATTCAACTTGAAAGATAGGATAGTTTATAATCTCAATTTATAATCGCAATTATTTGTTTATTAATAAAGAATCATAATTATCTCTGTTAGTTTGATAAAATTCTAACAGATAGTGGTATAAGGTAATTCGTTGACTTAAAGACGTCGTGTATCGGACTGATTGTGAGCCTCCTAGTTTAATTATAATATGTTTCATTATTTTTCTAAAATAATGTCATGTAAGAGTCAAGGTCACAGTAAATATATAACGAGTGAAAGATAATTACTGATAAGACCATTTTTGCATCCAACTTATACTTATCAAAGTGACATTTAATGTCAGTTATAATTTGAACTTCAACTCGTGAACAATTTATACATTTTATTGTCTCGCCAAATTATTTATATTAATTATACAGTTTTTATAATATTTGTTTTATTTTGTAAATTGAGAAAAGGAAAATAAACCAAAAAAAAAAAAAACATGCGTGTAGCTGTTATCGGTGCAGGTGTTATAGGATTAACGAGTGCATTTGCATTGAAAGAAAATAATCCTGAACTTGAGGTGACCATATTTTCGGAAATTTTTACACCAAATACCACAGGTGATGGAAGTGCTGGTCTTTGGGGACCATTTTTACTAAGTGACACTTCGAAAGAAGATATTTTGTAAGTTTCATTTTCGACCAAATTGTATAAATGCAATTGCATTTTCTTATCTTATCTTCTTATCAATGTGAAAATAATCGGTTTTTATAAATCGACAATTATTGCAAGATTGAATGATGACAATTAAAATGAATTTTTTATCAGAAAATGGGCAGGAAGGACGCATCGTTTGTTTGAACAATTTTGGAAATGTGGCTTGGCTAAAGAAACTGGACTCTGTCTTTTACCGGTACTACGTGTGACCAGTGAAAAATCTGATGAAATGTCATGGTTAAAATTAGTTTATGGTGTTCATCAATTAACTAAGGATGAATTAAATAAATTGAACAAGGAACATAAAGCCAATTACATGTACGTTTTCATTAATATAAACATTTGACATTGTTTTTAGTATTCTAAAACAGTTAATAACATGAAACACCTTATATATTTGTTAATTAATTTAAATGAAAAATAATACAAAATTAAATTGTAGAAATGGTTGGCATTTCGTGACATATACTTGCGAGCCAACATACTTTTTACCTTGGATAACGACAAAATTTGTCGCATTGGGTGGCGAACTGAAGAGAAGAAAGATTCGTGACTTAGGTGAATTAATTGAGGATGACTATGAAATTGTTATAAATTGCAGTGGTCTTGGTGCACGAGAACTCGTCAATGACGACACTATGACAGCCGTGAGAGGTCAAGTTTCTAGGGTAACTGTATACCTTTTTAGGTTTTATTAGGAATGTATACAGGAATTGTTAGATTTTATTAATAATTAATTAAAATAGTTATTGTTTGCTGTCTTTCTATTTTATTTTTTATATTTATTTATTTAGGTAAAAGCACCATGGGTGATGCATTGTATTCTGGTGGATGATGAACATTGCAATTATATCATACCAAAGTATTATTTAATGTTTATATTTTGACTACAATTTTATAATTCAACGTTAACATTGAATTTTATAATAATTTTCGTTGATATCAAAAGATTTGTTTGTTTTTAGTATAAACGATATAGTCTTAGGTGGAACTCATCAAAAAAATGATTATGATCTTAACGTACGAGATAAGGATTCTAAATTGATTTACGAAGGATGTCAACGTATGATTCCATCCTTGAAGGTAACCAAAAATAAAATTAATTAATAATGTTTAAAATCATCTAATAATTTTAATAAATTGTATAAAAAATGATTTGTGTTCGTACAGAAAGCTGAGACTATAAAATCGTGGGTTGGTTTAAGACCAGGAAGACCAAAAGTTCGTTTAGAATGTGAAACATTTGTACGAAAAAATGGTAAAAAGTGTCACGTAAGTTAATCGATATTTTCTTGACATTTTTTTTTTTTTTATATTTTTGTTACATGTATTAACTCAACGAGATGTTTGTTAAATTAGGTGATTCATAATTATGGTCATGGTGGTGCTGGTATAACATTGAGCTGGGGATGTGCAATTGACGTAGTTGAAATTGTTAAGAATCTCAATCGAAATGAATATCAAATTTCAAAATTGTAAATTATATTTGAAAAGTGTACGAATAAATTGATCTAATAATAAACATGAAAGAAACCTAAACATGAAAGAAAAGAAAAAGTAATTAAAAAAGAAAGTATAATTAGAGATACACATATATGTATAAATACAAAAGTGATAGTTCAAAGGAAGGTAATTACTGTAAGTTCAAAGGTACATTGACCTATTTATATGATTTCGTGCACGTGATAGTAGACTGCAGAAATTCTAAATACGTCCGCAACAATCTAATTGAAGCAAACAAACTATGGAAATAGCTCTCGCACACACAATACCGCAGTGCACGGTAATATCTCGAAATGATCGGACACGATTCAAGTATTTTCCACTAAGGAGTATCGTTTATATGTGTATCAATAATTATTCAAGTGTTTTAATTTAAAAATTCATTCAAATATACAATAATAATATACTTCTGATTATTTTTATAATAAAATTTAATTAATTGGATTTATTTTTTTTTTTAATAAAATCGAGTTACTTTGACATTGAATTAAAATTATTCGAGTGTTCCATTTTAAAAATTAGTTCAAATATATAATAATATTTTTATTATTATTTTTATAATAAAACTTAATTAATTGGATTTATTTTTCTTAAATAATATCGAGTTAATTTGACATTGAATTAAAATATCGATAATGACAAATGAATGAATAATCGATTAACATGATACTTCATAAAATTCCTAAACTTATCTCGTGACAGAATAAAAAATAAAACTTTGATATATCCTTATTTATCGTCCTGATATTATTAATTCGCGTTAATTTCTTTTTCTTTTCTTTTCTTTTTTTTTTTTTTTTTAGATACAAGTCGTGATCGTTCATTAAATTTCGTATCGAATAAGATAAAGTAAACGAAAAAAAAAAAAACACAAAAACTATACATACTTTTAAAGTAAATAATTCAAGAACAGGTATGATGATGCATTGAAAAAATTTGACGACATCTCGTGAATAAAAAAATATAAAATAGAATAATATCAAAGAGTGATGTATGTGACAAGAACAACAAGGACTCGATACAGAAAAGAAATGATAAGTTTTTGTCATGAACAACATCTTTGAAAGTATTAACAAACATAATCAAACGGTATTGAACGAGACTAAAATTCGTGCTAAATCTGTACCAAGAAATTTACGTGAAAATCGTTACGAAGAATTTGGTGAATCTATTTATAATAATAATTATAATAATAATAATAATAATAATAATTATTCTAAAACACTCACTCGAAATGATTTCAAACATTTTATCAAAAATACTGAAAGAGGTATATAAACACATCAAATAATTATTATTATTATTTATTAGGTGTTATATTTTAATTTCTTGACAGATATCTTATGTGCAGAGAGTGATAATGAATCGAGAAAAATTAATGTTGAAAGTTCAAAAACGAAGAAGAAAAAGAAACGAAGGTAAATACGAAACCTTTTTTTTAATATAAATTGTAGAAATGTTATCATTGATCAAATTATTAACTAATGTTTCGTTTGATTAGATACTTAACAATTTGTACAAATAATTGCAAATACGAAGTAGTAAGACGCGTAGCAACACGATTTGGTATGAAAGAAGTTACCGAAGACAGTAGTTGGAATTTATATTGGACAGATTTAAGTGTCAGTATAGAACGTGCCAAGGATATGAAAAGATATCAAAAGATCAATCATTTTCCTGGAATGACAGAAATCTGTAGAAAAGATTTATTAGCTAGAAATCTTAATCGTATGTTCAAATTATTTCCAAAGGATTATAATTTTTTTCCTAAAACTTGGTGTTTTCCTGCCGAGTAAGTTATTAAATAGAATATTTTTTTCATGAAAAATACATTTAACAATGTATCTACTTGTCCCTAGTATATTATTTATTTATTTATTTATAAAATGTAAAATTATTGAAATTAATTTAGTCATGGTGAAGCTATTGCTTATTCAAAGTTACATCGATCGAAAACATTTATAATCAAACCGGACACTGGTTGTCAAGGACGTGGAATTTATTTGACAAGAAGTTTGAAGGATGTTAAACCTAATGAACGTTTGATCTGTCAAGTTTATGTTTCTAGGGTAATTTAATGAATATAAATAAATGATAGTGTTTAATGAAATAAAATATGATTGATTATTATATTTACAGCCATATTTGATAGACGGATACAAATTTGATCTTCGTATTTACACATTGATAACATCGTGCGATCCTCTACGAATTTACGTTTACAATGATGGCCTAGCAAGGTAAATAAAATCATTCGAATAAAATTAATCATTCGATGATCCGAAGATTTTCCTCGTTAGATTTGCTACGAGTAGATACAAGGAACCATCTTGTCATAACACATCCAATGTTTTTATGCATTTAACTAATTACGCTGTTAACAAACACAGTCGTATGTACATTGTCGATGAAGAAATTGGTAGCAAAAGGTTAGTAGGAATTATTTTTATTGTACATAAAATCAAATGATTATCTATAATAAATGAAATTGAATTTATTTAGAAAAATTTCCACATTATTGAAATGGTTAAAAATGAAAAATATCGACGTTGATGATTTATGGAATAAAATAGATGAGATTATTATCAAAACTATACTTGCTGCACATCCAATACTTAAACACAGTTATCGTACATGTTTTCCAACTCATGACAAAACTTATGCATGTTTTGAACTTTTAGGATTTGATATTTTACTCGATTGGAAATTAAGACCATATCTGTTAGAAGTTAGTATAATTAATGATGATTAGAACAATGATATTATTTGAATAAATATTTTTGTTTTTTTTTTTTAAACAGGTCAATCATTCACCAAGTTTTCATACAGATGCACAAATTGATAAAGATATTAAAGAAGCTTTGTTGATTGATACATTTGAAATGTTGAATCTACAACAGTGTGATAAGAAAAAAATTATTGAAGAAGATAGAAAACGTGTACGAGATCGATTACTTCAGGGTGTTATATTGAAAGATTTGAAGTATGACAATGAAAATTGATTTTATTTGAATGTTGTATTAATTGATAGTTTAAAAATTGAATGAATTATTGTTATTTTTAGTTCAAATCATGATAATACAATGATGAATGTATTAAAATTGGAAAAAACTGATCGAGATTATATCGAAAGACAATTTAAATGGGAGGACGATCATATTGGTAATTTTCGTCGAGTATATCCTTGCAAGGATGATAATAAATATCAACAATTTTTCAAACAAAGTGGTACTACAGTTTTTCAAGAAACTGTAGCTTCACGTGCACGAGAGGAAGCTTCTAAAGTTCAAAGAGAAGAAAAGGAAGTTAGTCTAATAATAAAAAATAGAAATAAAACTATGCACATTTTTATAAATCTATGAAATGAAACTTGTATTTTTATGACGAAGAACAAGAACCTACTTTTTTGGGGGGGATTATTGATCATTGCAATATTTAATTAATATTACTTTTTACAATGTTTTTAGATCAGATTGAGAGAACAAGAGAGTAAAAGGATCAATGGTAGATGGTGTGATCAAAAAATAATTCCTGAAAGTCCAAATGTTCAACAAAAAAATATTCCTAAACGATTGGAACAGAAATCTTTTACTTATTTCAAAAAAATGATACCAGTAAGATTTGAAACGAATTTTGTCTTTTTATTTGATTAAATTGTTTTTGTTTAATAAATTCTATGTAAGTTATATAATATTAAATTATAATTTGTTCAATCTAATAGCAAAAAGCAGCACCAAACTTAACAAAAAATTCGAACAAAGTTCTGTCATCGTTTGAACCTGAAATAATATCAGAATCTGAAGAAAGAGAAAGAATAACTGCATTAGTTCAACGTGATTTTCTTTTAAGAAGTTATGGTATACTTGAACAAATTTACATGGCTATGAAACAGAATGGTACACTTAGGGACAAGGATGTAAAAAAATATGGGCTTTATGGAAAACTTGCATTGAATAATGATCAAAATTTATTGTCACAAACATTTCATCATTCAGCTTGTCAAGAAAGAACATTGAATATTTGTAATCATCATCATAATGATCATTCTAATCATCGATTGAATCATTGTAAGTAACATCTAATTTATTTTCAATGAATTTGTTTCTATGAAAATAACATTTACTGAATGATTCGTATTTTCAGATTGAACATTTAAGAAATAACAAATAATTTACACAAAAATCAAATTGAAAGACAAAAGATTAACTTTTAAATGATTGTCTTCATAGATCAATCTTAACATTGTTATGCTTTATTACTCCAATTAGGCCAAGTTTGAATTAAATTGTACAAAGAATTTCCAGGACAATTAGTTTGAGTAGTTTGACGATGACCAAAAAGTTTGTAATTGGATTTAATTTTATTATTAGCTACACCATAAGATATCAAATTTTGTGTTGCCCTAATGCTCGCTTGATTTGGTAAAGTATCTACAAACAAATATACAAAAATTAATGATAAAATAATAATGAAATATTAAAATAAGAAAATAAATAAGTGTATGTTTAACTTACTAGTAAAATTACCAATCACACAAATACCAATGCTTTTAGAATTGTAGGGAGGAGAATGAGCACCATGTTTACCCCAACCACGACCTTCATAAACATTACCATCTTCACCAACTAAAAAATTGTATCCAATGTCCTTCCACTTTTTCGTATCCATGTGATAATTCTACAAATTACTTTTGTATGAAATAATTGGAATCATTGAATTAAATCATTTTACATTTTCTTGATGACAAATATTATCACTTAATATACTAAACATTTTAATTAACGAGAAAAAATATTTATACAATTGTATTACCTGAAAAGTTCTCACTCTAGCTTGACAGATTGCTTGTGTGGTACAACCAATTGTATCCGAATGATGAATAACCACATTGGAAGGTGGATTTTCTCGAAGTGCAGGTAGCGGACTAGCCGGTTCTCTTGCTCCCCATTCTCGTCTTGAAATGATATTTGGTATATCTGAAATTTGTTGATATAGAAACTGAGCACAGTTGAATATTGATCAACAAACATTGAATTTTATTATATCAACGTTGACATTACGATATAATAATGATCGTAGAACAGTCAACATTATTTTTACCAATTCAATATTTTCACATGAGTTTTTGTGAATTTTTTATCGCGAACGTTGACAACCTGATGACACTGATTATCCCATAATTTGTATGCGTGTCACATGTATATCATTGAAACAAGATATGAGTCACGTAATAAAATTAACCGAGATTCAAAATGATTGACGAAATTATACGAGAAGAAGACAAGAAATGAGAATATCACGAAAAAAAAAAAAAATGTTTACCTGTATTAGCAGAAAATCCAATTTCAGTAGCAAAGCAAGGGATTGCTTTGTACGCAGTTAAAAGCAGAAGAAGAAGTAGACTCGTAACTCCTGCCATTCTCGTAACTTGTTATGAACTCTAATACTTCATGGTCATTTAATTTATACTAATCGACTGCTGCTGTATAAATGTATACGTCAAACTATGACCTTTGAACGCAGATACGATCAGACTGATCTTATAATAGAAACCCGTTTATGTAGATTCATGTTTCACATACAATTTTATCAAGTATGCGTATATATACTGTATATGTAAAAGAGATGAATGTGGTATGTATATATAATTATTATTTCCTATACGGGATTCCCAATTGATATTAAGTTGTTTTTCTTTATCGAACGTTTTTTATATTTATTTAATTCTTTTTTTTTCTTTCGTTACAAATGGTGTCTTCTATTTAACACACTTCCTTATAATAATAATAATAATAATAATAAAAATTTGAACACTTGACAGCACGATTATATTACGCACAGTAATAATATTTGTTCAACGTTGATCAAACATTTGAAGGAACTTTCTTTTTATTTTTATCTCGTAATTTTATTCATAAGAATATAATTCATGTTGTTATATTAAAGTTAATCGATGATACATTAATGGTTTATTTCTAAATTACATGGTAATCAGAAAGATATTATTATTTTTAAGTACCCTGTTTTGATTCAATAAAGAACACAAAATAATATGTATAAAAATTACTAGAGGTAGCAATACGGTTGTACAATGGATAATTCAAAAGATTCGTATTGATTTATGAATTAGTATTGCATATAAAAATTAATACGAATATTTTGTACTAAAATGATATTCTATTATTATTTAGCAAATAATTAATAATAAATTATTTCAAAGAAATATAATAATATTATATTTCATAGTCTTACAGTTCTATTAGTGTTATAATCATCAAGATTATTTCCTTCAGGTACCTTAAGTAGTGTAGCATTAGTAGTGGTAATTCGAGTTTTGTCAGGTGTTGGATGTGATGTCCAATGTGGAAGTGCCATAACGTATTTGTAAAATGTATCACCTGGACACAATGTATCACGTGCTTGACGATGACCAATTACGTTGTAATCCAATTTTATTTTTCCTAATTTGACACCACACGAGATGAGAGAATTTAATGCACTGAGGGCTGCTGCATTTGGAAGGAAATCTAGAAAATTGAATAGTTTTTTGTGTAGTAGTAGTAGTAGTAGTAGTTTAGTGTCATTTGTAAATGTATGAGGAAATAACTTGAAGGGGATTTACCTGGAAAGTAGTTCATGTATATATGTATTTATTTATTTACATTATGCACTTGTAGAAAAAGTGTTTATCTATACTTGGAATGAAAGAGGAAAGTTCGTGTTTTTTTTTTTTTTAATTAATGAGTTGATGCAATATTAATTGTTATTTCAATTTCATTTAATTATCGTAGTTGTCTATTTTTTTTTTTTTTTTAATAATTGTGTAGAATTTAATTAAAAGAAGAAAAAACAAATTGAAGATTACACATTGAAGTTTTGTAGTAAAATATTGAATTGCATTATAACGATGAATATTTTGTGATATAATTTCATTTATGTTAAATAAAGAAATTGAAGTAATAAATAATAGTAAATATATAAAAATGAAATGAATGACAAATATATTGAAATGAAGAAAATATTTACCAGAAAAATCTCCAATAATACAAATGCCAATACTTTGAAAATTGTATCCAGGTGCATGAGCTCCAACTTTGTTCCATCCACGACCCTCATAAATATTTCCATCTTCACCTATGACGAAACTATAACCAATGTCGAACCATTTTCTAACGTCGATATGGAAATCTTGATAAGATTTAACTATTTTACTACAATTTTCTTGATCGTGACAATAATGACGAATTCCACCATGATGAATGACAACGTATGGTGTTGGTGTACGTTCGAGTTGTTCTTCATTTAATGGTTTACGAGCTTTCCATTCATCTCTTGTAATAATCCTTGGACAATCTGTCGATTAACATAAATTTGATACTTTCTTAAAAAACAATTTGTTATAGTCAATTAATTAAATATGCAACATTCTTGTTTGATCATCCAAGTATTACTGTGTAGTAACTTTGATTAAAACAGGTTGGATAAGAAAAAGAAAAAGAAAAATAACGTAGAATTACTACGAGAGTGATTCACCTAACGAGAAATTATACACGTTGATTGATATCATTCATTACGTAACGGTGTTTTACCATTACACTAACACGAGTTAAATAAAATCGAGTTTTATATGTTTGTTTTTTGTTTATATAAAATTTAATTGAATCTAATTTGAATTATTTTCTTGTCTTTTGTTTTTTTTTCTTTCTTTTTTTTTTCTTCATCACGTTTTTTGATGTGCACGAAAAGGTTTTCATTAGTTGAAAGAAACAATTATTTTATATAATTGTATAATACAAAAAAAACAACACAATTCTAATAAATTAACATAAGTTTACATGTGTTACACGCGTTAGGACTTTGTTACTTTTATGTTTTTTTTTTTTTTTTATAATTATTGTTTAGTTGAATAATAATTCATGTTGGAATATATTTTTATTTGAATTGAAACTATTCAAATGTGTTTTGCAATAAAAATAAAATATTCAATGTTCAATGTTATTATTATAATTATTCATTATAAAAATATATTTGTCAAAAAATTTCCAGAGTATATTAATAATTAATTAACACAATAAACTTTCTAATAAAAAATAAAAATAAAAAAAAATAAAAAGAATAGAATCATGATGAGTATACTCAATAGAATGATCAGTCAAAAATTTTCCTAACCGATAACAAAACAGTTTGATTGATTTCGTTCGATAAGCTAAAAGAAGACAACACAAATTGATCTAATCTGTCAAAGATATCAATGATAATGATGATGATGATGAGATTAATCAAATAATAAAATGTTTATGACATGAAGAGAAAAAAAAAGAAAAGAAAAGAAACAACAATAATCTCACCAGTAATATTGAAACGATAAGTTTCATCGATTGGTGCACCAATAACTAATTGTTCTAATGCAACAAGGCTAATGATAAAAATAATATTATAAATATTAAATATAATTGTTATTGATTTCATGGCGTTAATCTATAGTAATAATAACACGCGATCAATGTAGTTGTCGTTGTCGTTGATCAAATGTGAAACTGAATGTGGACATAGTGAAACCGCGTCCCCTTTTAAACGAAAAATCCAACGAGAGCTGGGAAGTCCCTCCGAATGAGAAACACCTAATAGTAGTAGGTCCTTTAACCCTGTCCTCTCTCTCTCTTACGTTCACTGATCTTTGTAGCACATACATAATCAAAATAACACACACACACATTCGTGAAATTATAAAATGAACAGGAATTATAATAATGAACTATATTTGAAACACTAAATATTGATGATACTAATATTTGACTTTAAATATGAAAATAAAAAGAATTATATATATTTTAAGGATAATTATAGAGTATCTTTAATATTTTATATTTTTATAATAAATAATTTTAATTATTTTTATTTTTTTTTTTTTTTTTTTATTTGGAAATGTTTGATATTTTAAATATTTTACTAATACTTGGACTAATATTTATCTTAAATAAAGGTATTTTATTTTTGTATTTATTTGTTTCAGATAATTTATAAATCCTTTTACAAATATATATATTCTATATTAATTAATTACAAATATAAATTACCAAGTATTTATATTTAATTATATTATATAATTTATATTTTAATTATATATATTTGTACTTATATTGAAATATAAAAAATGAGATCACTTTTTTCTTTTTTTTGATTAAAAATATACATCAATTTGATAAAAATAACAAGTCATTTGTAATAGTTTAACATAAAAAAAAAGATTTCACATTAGCAAAAAATATTCCACAGAGGAAAAATAAATACAAACCAATTATGTTACCTTCAATTATTGTAAAAGTATGTACACCTATTATACAAATATGTGTATAAAAAAAAAAAGAAAAAAAATCAATCAACTTGAATAATGTAATCTCGATAAAAAAAACGATTACCGGGACTTTTGAATTTTTATTTTGTCTCCACACATACCTTTTTCTTTTTTTTTTTTTTTAAATAAAATATACATGAAAATATAATTTTTTTTTAATGATGTACACTTGCATTGATGATAGTTTTTTTTTTTTTTGTTATTATCGTGATAATGTAAATATAATTCACGTGAATTTTTTGTTGTTCTGTTTTTTGTTGTCCATTTCTTTGTTCATTTTACTTACAGTTAAGCGTATCTTTTAACGTAGATTAGATTATTATGAAAAAGAAATTAATCATTATTAATGGAACAAACAATTGTCCATCGTATATCAAAATAGCTTACTTAAAAAAAAAAGAAATATTTAAAAAAAAATACTACGAAAATTGCAATTGCAATTGCAATGAATAATCATTTTTACTATTTACAGTTATACACACACACACACACACACACAAAAAAGTAGAACGTTCACGCGATTAGTCATACCGTTTATTTGATTTGTTTACACACTTGTTTGTTAATCCCCTTGTAAAAAACTGAATTTTTTTTTTTAGTTTTGTATCGATAATAGTTCGAAATACTATATATATATATATATGAATATTTTCTTTTTCCTTTTTCTGTTTCTTTATTTATTTATAAATGGAGAAATGATTGGAGGAGGAATTTAACGACGCAATAATTTTCATTCTATGATATAACATTGTATCATTTGTTGGTGAACATACACATAACAATAATTGTACTTAGAAGTGTTGTGTTATAACTTTCTTAAGTGTTTTCTTAGAATTCGAATGATTATTGAAGAAAACAATTAAACAAAATATTGATTTTCTTATTTATTAAGAACTATAATTGCGATTTAACATTTAATAGCAATTGTAAGTTAATTTGTATTTCTTTTTAAATTCGTACATCGATAAAATACATTAAAATTAATTTTAATTGAATTTAAAAAAATGTAATCTTTATAATCAGATAGTTTAATTATTAGATATAATAATTTTGTAATGATAATTTTATTGAAAATTACAAAAAAAAAAATAATAATAAATATATTATCTTAAGAATGCTGAATTTCATTCTAAACACCAGCAGGCATTTTCAATTAACTTAAAACCAAATGATATCGATCCAGATATTTTTATATATATATATATATATATATATATTTTATGTAATATTATTTTTAGCGATAACAAATAATTATTATTTTATTGTAAATTTAATGATAAGAGAATAATCGATAGATGATAATCAAACTTTTCGAAACTTATCTTACGGATAAAACATTCTCGTCAATGTTAAATTATATCAACTATATTGCACTTTGATTATGTTGTTTTTTTTTTATATTTTTGTTAGCATATACTTTTCCCTATAATTTTATAATAATGCACTAATTAAACAAGTAAACTTGAGGTAATTAGTATTACTAATATTTTTACTGATATGAGTATGATGCAAACGTATTCAAGTATCACGATAAACTAACTAATTATTCTCTCCTTCCTTCTCTCTCTTTCATTTCTAAATATTATTATAATAATATTCCACGAATTGTAAAATACAATTTTTATTTTATTTAAACGAGTATTAAATACGTACGATAAAATTTAAATATCATTACACAAAATTAAACTTTTGACTATTATAATAGTAAGTAAAATAAAATATTGATTTAGGAATGTTTTTTTAAAATAATTTTTATTAATTTTGGAATTAAAAGATTATCATTTATGATATTTAAATACTGTATAAATTATAAGATTTTCTTTATCTATCTTGAACTATAGATAGAACTTTGTTCGCAACAACTTTATAAATAAGATAATACATTATATATATATATATATATATATATATATAATGTAATATATACATATATAATGAAATATTAATTAATTAAATATATTCTTAACAATAAAAGATATTATTTCTATTCTATTATTAAAATATAATATAATTTTATTTATTTTCTTATTTATATGTGTACAATACTGTTT